GCAGCCGCCATGGGGTGTCCGGAGCTGCTCGGATCCGCGCACGCGGCGGCGTTATTTAATATCAGCCAAAAAGAGGTTCTGAGAGCAAGAGAAGGGTTATAAAAGGTGGTGCTGGGGAAGGATTGTGTCCCAGAGTGCTGTGGTTGGGAGAGAAGGAGCAGGGCGTTGCAGAACAAGGGAATGACTGGTCTTGGATGGTGCAGAAGCTGAGAGAACCATCTGGTCCCAAATGAGTTGGGGTCGGTTATCAAATAACTCTCAGGTTCATCAAAATAAAACAAAACACTGAAGTCTAAACACTGGGGGAACCACTTTTGATCAGTATTCATTTTTGATCAACATTTGTTGTCTCTCTCCTTTTCAGCGATTCCTTCGCAGCTCCTGCTCTGGCAGGGTTGGATATACTTTTGGGATGTAACTGCCTCCCGTCTGTGTTATCTTTTAGAGCGTGGCACAGGTTGTTCATCTCACACAGTCCTCATCCTCCCTCCTGCTGCCGTAAAGCACAGACTCTACTACGTATCTGCCAAAGCAATAAGTGCTTGGCATCAATTCCATTGGCACGTTGGCGTGGCAGTACGTGGGGCTCTGGAAAATATTACTCATGTTCCCTTCTCCTACTGGTGGTCTTTTGTAATGCTAATTAAATCTTGATTTAACTGCTTGTAAAACGAAATTACTGAAAGTACTGAGATTTCTTTTACATATTTGTCATTGGGCAGTAGCAAACATGTAAGGAGGCAGACAAATGTGGAGATACTTCAGCTACTGGAAGAAAAGAGAGCAATATTTGCCTTTGTTTGGAAATAATTTTTATTTTGATTTCTCCTAAAGGCCGACCATGAAGAGAAGTGGTTACTCAGTGCAGATTTTCAGAGACTGCTAGTTTTCTTTTGAGATATGTGTGATATTTGTAAGGAATTTGTCCACTGATGGAGCGTGTTAAATCTGCCACTGCTTCACTGCCATAAGGAAACAAGCAGGACCAGTTGCCAGGAGGAGTAGGAGTGAATGTGGGCCGGTTGCCTCATGCTTCTGCGTAAAAGAAGTTCTTTGGGTAAAAATGGAATCCCCTGCAAATCATGGGTGATATTTCAGAGATTATTTGGAACAAACAAATTCTTCAGAAGTAGAAGCAAGTATCCTAGAAGTGTGAATTTTAATTTTTTTTACGGGTTCATTACATCAGTGTCCTTATTCATTAAAATCTTATTAAAATATTTAATTATTAACATAAATTAACATTTAATATTAACATTTAAAATGTTAAAATGTTATGAAATTTAAATCAGCATATAAATTACTGTAAAAGATTAGCTGGAAACTGAACCGGAGCTGTGATTTTTTTGCAGAACAGCTGCAGGGAGAGATGTGAGCCTTTCCTTAATACGATTCCTCGAGGAGACCGTATAGAATTT